GTTTCACTTTTCTTCTCCATCCTTTTGTCTGCAGGCACAAAATCTTTCAACATGATGTCCCCCACTGGTGACAACTCAGAGCTGCTGGCAGAGATCAAAGCAGGGAAGAGCCTCAAGCCAACACCTCATAGTAAAGGCTACACCACTGTCTTTTCCAACAGCGGACCCACAGGCAATGTAGGTCCACAGCCTTCCACCACTACTGATGACACATTAATGCAAAAGTCACTGAAAATTACAGAACCGCTCATTTTAAAAATTCAGTGATTGCGATCACTTGTGGATTTGATGTCACTCTGGGCCTTTTTACACAGAGATGGCGCTGTAGGGCCACAACGAAGTCCATTCTTCATGCCACATAGGCATTTTTACGCAGAACCCAACAACTGCGGCATCTTTCCACTCCAGTATGTGATTTTAGACAGTATGCCGGCATCCCGGAATCAAATGAGACCTGACAGACATGACGTGTAACACAACAGCACTGGCCTCTATTGTGACATAACATACACTTTGACAGCACTTTCTAAACAATAACAATTGCATTAACATGGCAGTAACAATCATTTGCCATCCCTGTTATATGGTGGCTGATCTCGTCCTTTGCTCAAATGGTTGGGAGCTCCAGGACCTAATTGTTTTCCCAATTTGCAGACATTGTAGACCGGCTGTCCCATTTATACAGACATAATTTCGGCGCTGTTACACAGTTACACTGCCTGTTCAAGGTGGGACTATTGTGCCTCATTTTAAAAGGTATACTATGCAAGATTTTCCAAAACACAATAGACTCATACAAAGGTAATCCTTTTCAATCATCACTTGACCCACTAGAGTGTGTGGCAGTGTATTTATCTGTAGAGACCCTGTCCTCTGCCTATGTTTCTTATTTTCATCTTATTTTGCTATGTCTGGGACATTCCCTGGCACAGTGCACAAGTGAGGTCAGGACTTTATAAAACAGGTAGCATCAGGTGCCAGACCATAAGCAGATCCAAGAGGAAACTATGAAAATCACTGGCACAGCTCTGCAAAAAAGAAATATATTGAGGCAAAACGCCAAGCAGAGAAAGCTTGTTACAAAACAAGAGTAAGTCTGAGGTTGGCATTCACTTTCGCTGGTGATTTTATTTACAAATGGTAACCAACAATTCCTGCATAGTATAGCTTTAAATCAAGTACAAGTACATGCAAAGACACACAGACTTGCATGAATCTGGAAAAACAGAATTAAATTAAGCAAATTTATCCCAAATCACTTAAGGGTGGAATAATGTGATCAGCAAAGTGTCTGTGACGATTCTCCACATCATCGTTGACAAGTGGACCCCTCAGTAATGCTTCCTTCATGATCACATAAGTACAACTTTAGAAATCTGAATTTAATTTGATGCAAACAAGACAAAGTAATTCACTGATGATTCAGGGTTAATACCCCAGAAGTCGTTAATTGCCAAGTTTTAATAAGTTTGGAACCTGTGCACAATGTTAGCGAGAGGACACCAGAGCTCTGTGAACTCAATGTGTAGATCATCTTAATTATGGGAACTGTGGTACTACACTTTGCTTTATTTAGAAACCACAGTATTTCTAACCCAGTTTCTAATTCTTTCTAATCTAATTCTAATATAGTTTTGCAAAGAATCACACAATCTGAAACACTTGATTTGTCTTTTTACCGACAGACAAAACCAAATTCCATTGGTAACGTTGGTCCCTTAAAAGGAAACTAAAGTATTTTTCAACTTGCTACCTATTTTTGAATTTGAATTTCCCCTCTTGGGGATCAATAAAGTATATCTTATCTTATTTTCTCATGTTTTTGTGTCTAAGTGACTAATGGAGACAACAATTTTTGAAACTGGTCCAGTATTGAGAGAGACCACAGCGGTAAAACAGGCTGCAATGTATTCACAATGGGCAACTGTGCACCGCCAATGTACCTCCATTAAAAGTGTTTGTTTTTTTTACCACTGACAGGCTCACATTGTTACTTTAAGTGTCTGATAACATTACGGAAAGACCCTAGAGATAAATAAAACGTTTTTCTTACCTTTCACTGAGTCTGTTAGTTACTGTGACCATGTTTCACTCAAGGCTTGACTTGTGTCAGGAAAAACAATGGTGGAAATGTTATTGAGAGTTGGAGTGCCGAGAAGAGAGCACTGAAGAGAGCATTTAGGAACAAGACTTCTCCTGAGCAAGACACACTAACAAACAGACCAGTTGAGCGCAAGATAAGGAAAAACTATTCATTCATGTGTGGGGTCTTTTTTGTAATGTTGTCAGACATTTAAGTTAACAATCTGTCAGTGGCAAAAACAAGCATTTTATAATGGATGTAAATTGATGGAGCTCAGTTGTCCATAGCCTGTTTCACCACTGCCGGCTGCAGCTGTCTCTCTTGATACTGGACCCATTTTAAAAATTGTTGTCTCCATTAGTAACTTCAACACAGAAACATGCAAAAATAGGGTCCAGGTTAAAAAATACACTAAAGTTTTCCTCTATGGCTGAGAAGGAACTGGCAATCCTGGTCATACGCAGAGTTTAACTTAAGCTACAGTAAGTAAAGGCCAACTAGAAGAATATATCAGAATCTGTAAGAAATTGTGCAACACATTAACTTTACACAATAATGCCTAATACTGCTGTCATTTGTTTCTAAGGATGAAATTAGAAGAGAGGTTTAAAGAGATCCATGGTTATCAGATTTGTCAGGTCACCGCCAATGCTTGTTGTCTTTATTTTTATCCAGGAAAACACTGCATCTCCACCGGAGACTCGCATATCCAGCCCACCAGCCAAGCCATCATCCCCACCACCATCCAATACATCTGTCAGCTCCCCACCCACCACCCCCAGTCCCAGCCCCAGTCCCACTGGCTCTGGATCTGCCAGGACCATTTCGACCTCTGCGAGTTACGAGCAACTGCCCTCCAACTCTGTGATCAATGGGAATAGTGGCAGCTCAGCAGGAGCAGAGTCAGGGCGGAAGATGAGTCTTGCAGATGTGGAGGCGCTAGTGCCCACTCATGACGAACAGGGGAAAGCGATCCCTGAGTGGAAGAGGCAGGTGATGGTGCGAAAGCTTCAGGTCAAGATGCAAGAGGAGGAGGAGCACAAGCGCAAGGTAGGCACGATGTTGCAAGGCTATCGGAAGTAGTAGATGTTTTATCATGTCCTTCGCTATCCCATTTGTGGTGTGGTAAATTTACAACGCTCTGTAATCTTGATTATATACAGCTTCAGTTTGGGATAATTGACAATACAAAGGGGATAGCTGGTGCTTGGATTTGAGTGTGGATTTTTGTGATTTTGAACAATAAGATGGCGTGAATGTTTTAGTAGTATTTGTGCATGACGTAAGTTTTTCTGTCTTTTTGACTTGTCATTCAAACAGTTAGTGTGGGTGAAACATCTAATGGGAGTTGAGACTAAAAGTTTATTTAGCATCTATGCTTTCTTGACAGCTGAAGGGGAGTGTTTCTGTGTTATCAAATGAGCTGCACTTAGGGACTTGATCGCTTCTGTACATTTTTGTTGTTTAGCCTTAATTGCCCTTATCTGCCTTACATTACTTATCTTCAGACCAAATGGCATGGTCAAAGTTACCAAACATGCTTTGTTTCTAAATGTATTATTTGGCTTTAGAATCAATGACATCTGTTAATCTATCTAACAGTCACTGCAGTGTGTGGTAATATTATGTGTATTTAGACAAGGTATTAATTAGTAATTCATACTGTGGCAATCTGAACACTTGTTAGTCCTATGTAATACAAGAAGGACCATGCAATATGGGATTTGATTTTTTAAATTTGACTGATTAATAATTTATAGTTATAAGGGATTGCAGTGTTATCCTCTAAAACAATCAAGCAGGTAGAAATGTGTCTCCAATGTCCTATAGTGATGGTGACATGAGGTGTTTTGTTTATTTGTTGAGATGCAGTGCCATCATTAGATTGTCCAACCGGCTGTCAGGCCTTACAGTAGTTAACTCAGGTAGTCATACAGAATTTTAGTGATATATTTCCCCCTGTAAATAACACATTGAAAGATAACTTAATAGTTGTTGCACAAAACAGCATTTGACTTAACTAGCTCTAAATGTAGGCACCCAAGTGTTCATTTATTTTCAAATAATTTCTTTGTTTCTTTATCAATCTTGATGCATGTTCCTGTTTTTCAAATGTACAGTCTTTATTAACGGTAAAAGACTCTTTGTGGTGCAGTGAACTGAATACTTGGCTACGATGCCCATCACAACATTAACACACTTGACTAATGGATTCTCAGTGTGGGCTGGTGTTTGATGATGGAGTTTTGTGGCTCCAAGTTGTTACATGCTGATTCAGTGGTGTGATGCAGAGCCCATTCACACTACAGGTCAACCAGGAATACTAACAAAAACACTAAATACTGGGTTTTTTGGGGTTGTTTTCTTTTTTGGAGAGGAAGATCACAATATGTAAAGAGTAACTCAAACAAGAAGTCGCTTAATCAGAAAAACCTTTGTTGCACTGACCTCTTGGGTTGACAGTTTCAACTCTACTGCACTTCTAAACACTTTGGGTGTGGTTAGAGGTACAGACATCTGTACAGTGATGTAACACTGCATTATAATGTAGGGCTACATCATAATTTGGTTGCAGACAGATGAAAAATGCAACTGCTGGATGACAGCAAAAGCAGAATATTCAACATTTGTGCAGTAACTCTTTAAACCTACCAAGACCATTAAAAAACTGATTCATAAAAATGGCGGAGAGAAACTGTTAAAGAGGGATTGAGCAACTATAGATGTAAAAGGTCTGCAGTGTCAAGTGCCTAAAAACATTACAAATGTAGACATGTTGTAAATCTGTAACACTTATCAACATTCTGTATTAATATATGTATATACTGTATATTAATACTGGTATAATTAATGTATACTTTGCTAACTGATTGATAAAGGACATAGCTTTGTCTGTTCTCTTTGATTAGAAATTAAAAGTAGAAAGTTTTTGTTTGTAATGAGGCAGTGCCATTGCACCACTAAATCCATGTAAACCCTGTGTGTCAAGATGGATTTGCATTGAAGAGTGTGTTCACACCAGGAACCTCGAGCTGAAGGAATCCCCCCTCCTTCCCCTTTTCTTTCCTTCTGGTCTCCTTTGACCTCTGATTTAGTTTGCGGCAAGCGGACATTACCAGCCTCAGGAATGGCACTACTCCCATGTCCACAATGCCATTTTAGGCCCATTTGGGGAGCTGATGACTGAGAGTGACCTAAACCGTATTGAGAAGCAAATTGAAAACCTGCAGGTCATGCACAAGGTCTCAGAAGTCGAGAAGGAGCTGGAAGAACTGGAGCGGGAGCTTCACCAGCTTCTACCGGTTTCTGCTGCCCTCAATCAAGGGCACTTCTCAGTTAATCCAAAGCAGGTACATGGTCAAGCTGAAGATCTTCCAGCCTGGTGCAGCAAGATTTCTACCCTGCTCAAGAGTATGGCCATTCTTCTTGCCACCCTGGGGGGAAAAGAGATAGATATCTTGGATCTAATATGTCCTGGATATTCTCAAGAAGAAGCAAAGAATGGGAGCACAGGTCAGCCTGAACCAGCAGGATCTGTTAGTACTGGCTTTATTGGACGATCTCAGTCCTTCTCAACAAGAGAGGATGTAGAGAAGGAGATAAAGCAGTGTGGAGTTTCAGTGAAGAACCTCAAGGCCAATTACGAAATTCAGAATCAGCAGTCTGCAGATAACAATGCAAACAGGGTGTACAAACGCAAGAGATCACTCCCTGTGGTAAGTGAATCCAGTAATCGTCCAGAAACAATTCGTGAGGATGATGTCCCTGATTCTTCTGCTGAGGTCCTTCAGTCCCATATCAATGGAGATTTACCTTCAGTGGAGGAATCAGTGTTACCACTTATTGAAGAGCCAGTTATAATTGCATCTCATGCTCCTGTGACGTATGTGCCCTCTGAGGTAATGGCTCCAACTAACATTGAACAGTTCAATCAGGTTCTTTCTGCAGACCCTGTTTTAAATGATGATCAACTAACAAGAAGCTTGGAGGTGCAGACAGATCTAAGCTATGTCCAGGAATGCATTGAAATGAGGAAAGAAAGAATCGTCTTCCTGTTCCTTGAGCACTGGCGGAAGTACACAATCTCGGAGTCCTATCGGACTAAACATACTGGCAGGAGAGGAAATAATTTACATGTGGGCTGGGAGGACTATGACCAATTCAGTGCACAGATTGGTGGGGAGATGACGAGTGAAGACGACAAACTCCTTCTTTTCATGAAGTCAAAGCAGGTAGTAGGGAATCTGATTGGTCACTGGAGGACAATTATGAGTCAAGTGCCCACACGCCAGATTCGCAGGCTGAGTCGGGCCCAGATGATCTACTGGCCCGAGCACTTCTTGCCACACATCAACGGGTCTCCTGTGAGCTACGAAAGCCTAACTCTTGACCTCTTTATGCTTGGTTACTTCCAGTTGCTGGAAATGAACATGTCTCGCAGTGAGCGTAAATTCCGACACCTCTTGTGCTATGAGATGTTTGACCGTCTTGGCAGCCATAAATGGGAGGTTATACGGCAGTTTCACAAGGAGGTCATGGAGGAAATTGAGAGAGGGAAGAGAGACTGGACGGACGGTTTTGAAAACATAAAACACAAATATTTCGGAGACTCAAATGATGGGGGAGGTGTGATGACGGCTTCTCTACGCTCTATGTCTCCTGACATGTCCGTTATGCCATTGCAGGAGTCACTCCCTCCCCCACCTCCTCATCCTCCACCTCCTCCACCACCTACCCATCCTGCACCTCCACCACCTACCAATCCTGCACCCCCACCTCAGTCTGCTCCACCTGCACCATCACAAGAACCCTCCCCACCAGCACCACAATCAAATGTTTCTCCATCATCATCACCTGCTGCATCCCAGAATGCCATACCTGACAATGGCCAGTCTGTGCAGCAGGGAACATTGAAGGAGGAAAATACTCAAGGGGATGTAAAAAACAGTGCGCAGCCATCATCAAATCAGACAGTGGTTTCTAATGGAAAAAGTTCAGAGCAGGACCATATACAGAGTTTGACAACCAAAACTGTACAACAAACTGATGCAACAGCAAAAGCTGAGACACTGCAGGACACAACAGAAAGCTCAGCACCAGATCCAGTAAAAGATGTTCCACCTGTTACTGTTAAAATCATAGAGGAACCTCACGTCAATAAACCCCCACCCAGGGATGAACATAAAGAAGACTCAATTAAAGTTATCTATGAGCTAAAAGAGTTCAGCAATGAGGAAATCATCAGATACATTGATCGAAGCTTTGCTTTTTGGAAAGAGAAGGAAGCCGAGCTTTTTGATATCTGACAACTACGTGGACTAAAGGTTTGCTAAAAGCCCAATTCACTTGTACAACCAAAGAGGAAATGCATAAACAGCAAGATCAGGGAAATTAACCTGCAAAGTGGAGTATGCTGAGAGAGGAAACTAATCTGGTGTGTTAGCTTTTAGGCCATGTCACATAAGGGACTTAACGGCGGCAAAGCAAAGAGCATCCACTTAGCTGTACCTGCTTTACAGTTTGCATATGCTGAAGTAGATGTAAAGAAAGTCTGTGATGTCAGAAGACATAATTTTAGTACAACTATTTAATTTTGAGTTGTGCTGCACCGAGAGCTTTTTGAATCTAGTTTGATTGGTTGCCATGGTACACTGCTTCTAGGAAAACAGGTTTTAAAGGAAAAGATTTGCCATAAAAGTCATGTAATGTGTTTGTTCAGGTCATCTTTGTCATGAAGGAAATAACTGGTAAAACTGCACACTTTGCTTATATTGAATACTTCGGGGTTCACTTCAAATCACACTCTGGTTAGACATTTACAAGAAATAAAATAGCTAGAGAGGGGGAAGAATAATCATTTTAAGGGATATTTGTCAATGACTCAGTATTTCCTATTAGGGCACATTATTTACATAAGTAAGTAAGATGTGCCTACATAGGCGGGTTCACAACATGAGTACACTCTGCTTGTTACACACACAGGGACACATGGATGGGTTGCAGGTGGGTGAAATAATTCATCATTAATGAGAAAAATACATACATTCTCTAAAATGTGATCAGAGCAGAGAGCAGAACTGCTGTCCGAAACCCTATTAAGAGAGACGCTGTGCGCATCTACACACCGGGAACAGCATAACTTCATTGATTATTTCAGAAGTTAAAGGTTTAGTTGTTTACTCTGTCAAGTTTATAACTACAGTTTTTGATGTTGCTGCTTGAATGTGCCCCAATATTTGCTGCATTGTCATCACTCTCAGCAGAAAACCACTCACTTCTCCAATATACTGAATTAGCCATGTAATAGCAGTGTGCCAGGTCTAGACGCACCTGACTTTAAAGAAACAGGAGAAGACACACTGACTGATTGAAATCATGTTCTGCCTAAAACACATCTACAATTAAATAAGGGACAAAATACATCCTCTTTGCCCCTTGCACCTGACACGGTGCCCAGATTATGCGCACGCTGTTTGACTAATTACGGTGGAGCTGGACATGCCCTAAATGCACTTGCGCCATAGATTGTTTAAATGAGGCCCCTTGTCTTTAAGCCTCTGACCTCATGATTTTGTTTATACAATATGTGCCTTTCACACTAGATTAAGAGATTAATAGGTATGGTAAATGCAAGGTCTGGAAATAACGATCAGAGCATTTTCAATCGTCATTCAGAACTCAAAAATTTGAACTTTCTGTCAGCAAATGACAGCATTCACTCAACAAAGCTGTTACCACCTAAATGGAACATCAGACTGGATTTGTAATTGTTCCACAAAGTTTGTTTGTCTTTTTGTTACTTGTTATAATTTGAGTGTTTCTGGGAGATTTGTTTAAAGTTTCCACAATTTAAATTTGTGTTCATTTCTTTCTACATTGCTATTGGAAATAAAAGTTTGTTGACATTTTTGTGATTAGATAATTTCAGTGGTTCTTTCCTAAAATATCCTACTGTAATTGTTGAGGTTACTGAACTGACGCACATGGCCAACATAGTATCTTAATTATCTGGCTTGAATTCAGGCCAGATTAATACATCCTAAATAATCACACTGATAAATGTACCAATGAAAGAGCCATTGTCTAACGCCAAGCTCTCGAGTGTGTAATGCTCTGCTGCAACGCTTGTAGCAGTGAAGAACCACACTATTCTCATAGCGTCTCTTCCGCAGCATCAAGATTACCTTCAAATAACCCTCTTAGCACCACCCGCTGTCATGCTATCCGTGGCTTAGAGGAGCCATAAGGAGGTTACAGTGAATCTTGATAGACTCGCGGCCCAAAAGGGACGGCAGTCAGCTGGTCAACTTACAGGCATATATATAGATTTGTATTGACAGTATGTGTTTCAGATTTGGTCAATGTAAATAGCACAGTAATTGGTGTGTGGTAATGTTTTCAACAGTTAAATTTAAGTTATACAGTGAGGGTCATGTACAGAACTATAATTTGTTCCACTTTTAATCTGCCAACGTTTCACACTGCAAGGTCAAATATTTGATATTTGTATTTACAGCACTGCTTGTACATATGCAACTGACTGTAAAGTCAACACCAATCCAGACAATAGAGATTATAAATATCAAAGACTGCTAAATTTGTTCAATTGATATTGTGGGTCTAACTAAAGTTCAACAGAATATGCAGACTATACTGAGGTTTATGTACTACATGTCTAGAAAACCATATGGAAAGATTACCTACCAGCATAGGACTTCTCTAACATCCTAATCATAAAGCCTCCTCCTTACCTGTAAATAAATATCATGGTCAGCTTGCTTTGTATGAATATTAGTCAGATGAATGTGAGAGCTGATGAACGTGAATTCAGAACTTCTTACTCAGAAGAGCCGAACAATTCACAGTTGTAATCCAGAATGATGTACAGGCACAGTCACAGGTCCTAGGTCAAGTTTTACATGAATCATTGGGGATTTTGAGAAACTTGTCTGTTAACAATTTATATTGCATCTATTATTGATTGTAATAGATGCTTGGCAGGCTAATGCAATGTACTGACCACACTCTCTGGCTCTAGGTCTACTGGCTCAAAGGACAACATGAACCTGCTCCAAAAACTAATACCATTTTGAGTTCCATGTGTGTGTGTGTGTATGGAGTATTGTACAAATGATCTTCAAGAAGACTTCACCCACAAAATGATCATTTGTGTATCAATTATTCAACCCATGTTACACTGAATTCATTAAGAGAACTGTGTTTTCTCGCATGCCTCCACAGACAACGAAGAATCCAAAAACAGAAAATTCTTGATGATTTGAAGTAAACAGGGAATGCGTTTAACAACAGCAAAACTATATCAAAACATCCACTAACAAACTCTCGCACAACTTGTGTAGTACAATTCAAGTCTCATTAATCCAGTTGTGTGCTCAATACTTGGCAAACACATGCATTTTTGTGGGAACCTAACTATTCAAAACACTTCTACATCAACAGTCTCACACACGGACAAGTGGTGTGCCTGGGCAAATACACATGTTGCCCCAGCACGCTACTTGTATGGAAGTGTTTTTAAATAGTAAGGTTTTAGCAAGAATGCATGTGTTTGGGAGGTACTGAGCATGCGGCTGGATAAATTCATCACTCCAATTCATCAAGAACTTTCTACTTTTACCATGGAGGCATGCGAGGAAAACCAATTTTTCTTGATAGATTCAGCAACACAGGGTAACTAAATTGAAATGAAAATGATCACTTTGTGGTATTCCTTTGATGTTAATGTGAATGGTTCGACGTAAGTTAAATGGATGGTGCATACCAGTAACATTGCTGAGCTTAGAGGTTCGAGAAGTCACTGATAAACTACTCACTCAAGTTTGTTTGTATGTTCTTTTCCTAATGTTCACATAACAGAGGTGGTACTGAATGATGTAATCAGCCAACTGAATGCTCTAAATTCTAAAACACAACTCAGTGTAAAACCAGGTACAATTCATATCTTTTTACAATACTATAACCTTTTGTAATCAAGTCACTTTCAAAATACTTTTACTTTAAAATGTCAATGTCAAACTTCTGCTTCAGTCACATGAAACAAATATTGTTGCCAGTTACCAATCATTAGCATTGGATACTGCCTACAAGGTACATGTAGACTGTGGCTGTAAGTGCCCATTGGTTTGGCTGTATACAGGGCTAACAAGCTATATTTAGGAGACTGAGCAGAATGAACCCTTTTCCCAAAATGTGACAAAAATATGGTGAAAATCACAGAATTTTTGCAGGCTTATATGACCCATTTTAAAGTACCAATAACAAGTACATCTGTGACTTGTGAATGAGCAGTAACTCGTCTTATTCCAATAATACTACCCATACTTGTAAATGTAAACTAATTACCAGTGCACATGCACACACTTCAGCGCTGCAAAGCAAGTTCACCAGCTAATTTTCGCTTTGACAGGTTTTTTTTTTCTTGCTCTGCAATTCCCAGGGGAATCATTAAAAATTAACAGCGTAGATAATCTTACCTGGAATAATGTGTTTGCCAGAGCAACTGAAATGCTTCAGTCAGAGGAATGCAACAGGGTAATCTATCTTGTCAGGTGAAGATGAGAAATCCAAGATGGCTGCCTTTTTTTTCTCTCCTGCTCCATCTCCAATTACGGCCTGAAAGAGAGAAAAGGATCCAGTTACCATTTGTGTGTGATGTCCCTGAGAACATCCTGATAAATAGTGTCCTGTCCATTTAAATGGCTTTATATTATTTTAAAAGAAACAGGAGATGAGTACCTATTGTGTGTGTGTGTGTGTGTGTGTGTGTGTGTGTGTGTGTGTGCTCTATTTGCTGTTGTAAGTATGCAGAGTTTACACAGTATGCTCTATATATGCTCTTATATAAAGGCTACTTTTCAAAAACTTTGACATCTGAGATTGTGTATATTGGACTAACAGGCTGGACTAACGTTTCATTACAGTTTTTCTATGCAGGTGTTTTCCTGCTCTCTCCAGCATGCAGAGAAGCTTTATGTGAGACTGCAGGCACGAAACACATTCATATGAACTTTGACTGTTTTGATGATGGTTTCAAAGCCATTTTTAAGTATTAAAACCACCCAGAAGCCCAGGTAACCCTAGTGCAGGTTTACTGAGTGAATACCTTTGTCAAGTAAGACCATGGAAATGACAAAAAAATAAACCTGCAACACAGATTGATGTAAGTATTTTACAACTAAAATGAGTGTTTAACTGACTTTGTTTTGTTGTTGACTTTGTTTTACTCCGGTTAAGTGTTTGATGCAATACATAACTGTGGGATACAGTTCATTGCATCAAACATTAATGGCATTGCCTTATGTGATATAAATACAGATTGTACTAATAATTTCAGCTGTATCACTCAGCAGTGACTCACAGCATGAAGGGCTTGAACATTTCCCCATAAAAATGTATAGATGGCCCCACTATATTGACAGGATTGATGATGGTTGAACTTGATATATCACAGGACACTGATCATTTCTCTGAGAGTCAGAGAGATGATCAGTGTCAATAAGCACATGGTTAAAGTCTACACATGCTTATGATGGTGTGCTGCAACAACAAAGTCTGTGGTACATGTTCTGTATTTCAGAAGTAGAGGAGAGTTACAGAGACAACGTATTTGAAGCTGATCCTGAGCAAGTATTTAGCCTAGTTAGATCCCCAAACAATAAAAAGGACCTTGGTCGATTTTTCATTATCTCACCAAATATACATTACGCAATTCTTGTTTGGAAGAAAACTCCAATTTACCTTGACATTTATCTGAGGGTAATTTCTTAACCAGGGGATGAGGTCATGCAAAGCAGGAAAAGAGGGCTGCTGTTACCGTTAAACTCCTTCACTCACTGGTATGGGCCCCCATCTCTGTCTCTCCCCTGACCCCTCTGTCCCTCCACAGGCTGAGGAGGAGGCTGCACGCCTGGCATCCATGCCCGCCTGGAGAAGAGACATGATGAAGAAGAAAATGGACGAAGAGAGGTGAGTAACGAAGCTGTGCTGCTCCGCATGTCTGTTTTTTAGCTTATCTTGTACTATCTTTATTATATCCTGGACAAGTAGGAGGAGATTGTGCTCATTGCATTTATAAGTGTGTTAGTGTTTGGAAGGCTCTTCACCAAGATAACACAGGAAATAAGGAAGGGAGCTCCTCCTAAAATGGACCATACTTTGTACTATCATATTTTTTTGCAATTTTCCGACATGTACGTTGGGGCCACTTTATCATGTAAACTGAGCTGAGTTACCGTATCACCGTATTCTCTCTCACCTGCAGTTGAGTCTGAAGATTTCAAGGAGATTATTTAACAAAGGCTGGAAATGATCCTGAGATTTCAGCCTGCGTTGATGCAATAGCATCATACAGTCCCTAATTTGTATTGATGCTGCCTCATTCAAAAGGTTGAGATCTGGAAGCTGTATACACCAAAATAAAACTTACTGACCTGAGACAAACTTAAAAATGCATACACTGTTAGATGGCACAGTATGTTGATCGAAGTACACATTTTACACTGTTTGGATTAGCAAGCGCATCTTTTTGTGGCCACTGTTTAGGTTAGCTTTGGCATTCAAACAATACAGAATTGGACTAAGTAAAAAAAATTGTTTCATTGATACATGATCCTGAATAATTAAAATGGTTTCAAAGTTATTTTCCGCAGTATCAACACAACAATATCAGCTGCACTTTCTCGCTCTCTCTAATTGTTACAATAATGTTTACTACAGTCATTCTGCCATTCTCTGCTACTAACCAAAAGAAATCATCATGTTATACCCTTGTTATATTTATCTTCTAAAAAAAAATTAAATTTTATGCCCTCAATGCCAAAGTTTCCCATAATATTGACTATGGTATCAAATATTGACATTTTATAGAGTATTGTATCAGAGCTAAAAATTCCAGTGTCATGGTACTACTTGCCTGTTAGCTTCAACAACTGATGCAGTTTTCCTGACATCTCTTATTAGCAATTATATTCACTCAAACGTATCCTATTTTGCCAAACTAATCCACAGTAGAGCTCAAAGTTTTATTACTGATACTGGATCTAGCATATCTGGCACCAGTGCTCCCTGTATGCTGTGTTCAAAGAGAGGTGTGTAACGTATAACACCTCTTGCCCACTCTAATGTAACTCAAGCAGCAACTGAACCTACACAGTTTACTGAGGGACACACGTGATTTGCTGATACAGTTTGTAACCAGAAAGTTGTCCTAAAAAAAAGACACCAGTGTACATTTAGGAGAGGGTGGTAACTATGTTCATAATGATATTTTGAAATCTATGGCACTTACACTAGGGACTTAGTGTCTGACGTAATCAAAGCTGTTGCTTTGACTGGTGCAATTTGGTCTGACATGTTAGACGGTTTTACTCAAGATGGTTTAATTATGAGAGGACAGAATATTGTAGATGTGTCCTTGTTTTTAATGTCTGACTGGAAGAAAAGATAACAAATTTGTCTGGTTGTATCGGGTTTTTTTTTGTTTTTTTTTACAAAGTCTGTGCTACAGTCTTCATCTGTCTCAGCAGTGCTGCATTAAACGTGCTGAACTGTTTGGGAAGGTGTTTTTTATATAGCTATATAACTGTAATGCTGGTTATGAAAAATTCCATTTTTATTTTTTCATTGGCAAGCCTTATAATAATAATGTCCTACTTGCTTTCACTTATTGAATAACTGTTGTTGTTTGAGATATTTACTCTTTTCTTCTTGTGCTTATGTCCTCCTGATGTGACAGGGAACAAAAAAGGTAAGAAAACATTATTTACTCCCTATAGTAATGTTTACATAATACTGAACTACTTGTGAAACATGTTAAATTGTTAGAAAACAGGTTTTCAGATTTTAAGAATTTTGTGAGGGACTATGAATTTGAGACCAAGGCCTCCATCTAGTGGACAGATATGGTCACATTATGTCCCATGGAGATCAAGCCCAGGGGAGGGGAAACATTAATTAAGCAGGATTATGAATATGAATTAAAACCGACACATGGGTAAATAACAGAAACAACTCTTGGCCATATGTTTATACTGCCTTCCATATAGTTTGCAACAGCCAAACACTAGAAACGAAGCCTGAGTAAAAACTAAAATGGCGCTGAGAAATTAGTGTCGCAGGTGGCAGCATCATAGTCATTAGAGGTAGCGTTAGGCAGCGTACGTCCTGTTTTAACGGTCAACGTCCTTTTCTGTTACTATGTGTGGTTTGCTTTTTCAATGCTAACCCTACTGAGGAATGAGGCGGACATATTTTCTTGCACTAAAGTAGACATAGAAAAATGAAGAAAAAAGTATAGCCTCAGGTTATTTGTTTGCGCTAACAAATAAGCTAACCGACATTAGCTAATACAGGGTTCATGCTAGCGCGTTAAGATAGCTAAGGGTGCACCAGACCACCACCACTACTGACCTGTCATTTTGGGCCCTAAAACACTCTTCCTGCGGGCTGCAACAGGTCACATTGTATGCCGAGGGTGTTCATGAATATCCACTGATACCCAAAGAACTGAAATGTTTAAATAACAGTGTCTTGTTTAAAGTACATGAGTACAGTTTGCCAGGCCAAGAAACAGTTTACAAACTTATTATTAGACCTACACCACTGCTCATATCCGACTACCACGAAATGTTCAACTGCCGCCGAAGTGCTCACACACACACTTTTCAGCATTTCCTAATTATTCCCACGTGGGCTGAGCAGCCAATCCCATGATATCAACAGAGTGACGTAATGTCACGCTTTTATGTGTTTTTTTTTTATCAGGGGAGGTGCAGGGGATGAGTTCTCCTTCACCTGCTGACCTCAGCGCTCACATACACATTTTTCACAGCAGACATTTGGCATGTCATAGCATAGGAGATGAAAAAAAATAAAAAAATAAATAAAATGACTGCATTCGTTCATTCTAGGGTCTAGGTTTAGTGCTGGCTAACTGGTATGGTTTAGTGGTACACTTAAGGGAGCCAAACCATCCTTAAATACATTTCACATGTGCTCACATGTCCTGCTAGACAAGTCAAAATGCACTCATACTTTAAAGGGATAGTTCTGATTTTTAGAAGTGGGGTTGTATGAGACACTTATCCATTGACCTAACATAGATGTCAGCTGGCACACCCCCAGTTTGGAGACCCAGGCTGGAGTCTGTCATGGAAGCTAATTAATGTACTGCTGTGGAGGGGTCAGGTACAAAATGTATTTTAGCCACATAAAAAAAGGTCCCATCTTAAAAAAATTATATCAGTTTAATTGTACACTATATTGAGAGTATTTTCACTGCTTTGCTTAATGTCATATAGTGATTTCCAACTGGAAAATAAAGCTGTTAACATTGCTCTCTTCAAAGCCAGATTCCATTGAGAAAATCAGTGATTTAACATTGCTGAACACAGGAGCCACTGGTCTACTGCTGCCTTGAACAGTTATTTTGTTTGCGTTGTTTTTGTGACTTTGGCCTTTAAAAGGGTTATATTGGATTCACCGAAGTCACACACAATAACACAAACTAACTAACTGATCGAGGCAGCAGTAGACCAGCAGCTCTGTGTTCAGTGAGCTATAATTACTATTTTTGTCAATGGAGTTTGGTGGCCTTGATGAGAGCATAGATGGGGTACTGAAGCTATCTGACAGGAGGGTTAAGAAGTGAAAATACTCTCAGTATAGCGTAAAATTAAACTGAGATTGATTTCCCATTTTTAGATGGGACTTTTTAGGTGGCTAAAATACATTTTGATGCTGACCCCCATCCACAGCAGTACATTAGTTAGCTTCCATGTCAGACTCCAGCCTGCTTCTCCAAACCGGGGGCATGCCGACTGACATCTACTATATGTAATATACTGTTTATGGATAAGTATACTACCCCACGTCAAATGAGACACATAAGTCAAATCAGAGTACCACTAACTGCATCTGTACTCTAACTAGCAATTTGATTTTATGTATAGGCTATTATTTTGTATTCTCTGCTTTAATGTGACATTGTTTTATTAGATGGCCTATAAACAGTTTCCACTTAAAGAAAACCTTATAAAAAGCTTCCACTACAATCTAACTTACATTTTGTTTCTGGCCCTTTGTCCACTTTTCTTCATACATCTAGAAAAGCGGAGCAGCAGGCCAAACAGGTCAAGGAGATGGAGGAGAAAACAGAGCAGGAGCGACTACGGATCCTGGGCTATGACGAGACCAAGCTGGCCCCCTGGCAGCGACAAATCATTCTGAAGAAAGGGGATATAGCCAAACAGTGAACTGGGCCATCTCCCCCCTCCTCTGCCCCACCGCACCCACCACCCTCACACACCCACCCCAAGGCCTTCACTGAACACCTCCCAATCCCTGATTCCCTACCCTGCACTGTACACTGGACAGTGGGGAAGAGCTTGACTCCTCTAAACCCTGTCTCACTCTTTGACCTCCTGAAACACAGGACCATGCTGTAGTTGCTGCTGTCCACACTGGCTCTGAGGCTCAGCTTCGGTGGCGTGACCCGCCACCGCCCACTGAAAGTCTACTGGAAACAAACTCTTGGTCTTTTAGTGCTAACAATAGCTGTGACATGCACTGATTCTCCTCGCTTAAGACGATTGCTATAAAAGCATGTGTCCTTATCTAAATTAAGGTTATCTGTTATGTACTTGCTTTGCTGCAAATCAATAAAAGCTATTTCACATAGACAATTTACTCAGACAAAGAGGTTTTTGATCGATGGAAAGGGGCTACTGAGCATTTTTGCCATGGGGAAAAAGCCTGTTATGTAACGAATGGAAAAGTAGCTCCATGGTCATACTCAGCAAAGGCTTATTTAAACATGAAGCAGCTAATGCATTCTCTGTGTAGACAATATCACATCTTCATCATGTTATATACTTAGTCCTGAGATTTTTGTATCAAGCTCATAGAAGCACTTTCTTAATGGCTTAATGTTACTGCCAGAGTTGTAACCCTAACACTCACACTAATCGCTGTCTTTAGATAAGCTTGTTGTCATTTCTCTGTGGATTTGGAATATTGATATATATCATATTTTAAAAAATGTAAAGATTATTTAGCTGTGCAAATTAAATTTGACTAATTATCACTTGACAAAAAGCCGCAATTTTCCAATTTAATTTTTCTATATGTGACTTATATGTTAAGCTATTGTGATCATGAATGTGAAATGTTGCGTGCATGTGTTGCGTAATGTCTATCGAGCATGTTGTGATGTATTATTAAGCACATTTGACCGCAGGACCCTGGATTTTCAGTGAAACACAATAGAAAAACAAAGACACACAATCTGAGCACATTGCTGCGAGGCTTCTGTTTGAACATGGCCTTCTTTTGAAATACAAAACATGCACATGTGAAGAGCAGCATCTTATACCAGACGTCTCATCTGCACACTGAATGTTGCAAAAGTAGAGAAAAGACATCAGTTTGTCCCATGTCCTCTTCCAGCCTTCGTCCCACTAACCTGGAGGATAAATCTTTGATGAGCAGATCTGGTTACAGCGAACAGAGTGCGCTCTGTCTGCCAGAAACAGCCGTAACATAAAAAATGTACTGCTCCTTAGATAATGCCAGCTGGTTGTTCTGCAGCCGCTCATGTAAAGAGTCCAGTTCAGATTATAAATGAGAGGAGACAAGACTTATACAGTGAACGGTATAATTCACAATCATGCAGATACTTTTTACATAACAGACCTGACACAAATACCAGTTCATAATTACACAGCTAATTTTAACCATCATTTCTAAACAGTTCCTTTTAGGTCCAGGTTTTCATGCATTCCTAGGATTCAAACATTTATTTGGCAGGGGTCACCAATTTGCGGCTAAACATAGAAAGGTGGAGAAACATGTGTTGAATGTTTTTGGAGCGACTGAGGAGACACATTTGAAATTGAAATTTAAGAGCAACTGAACCTCACAATCATGCCGGATATGTCACATGAAGTATTCCCTCATGATGGAAAATATTCTCTATGTTTACTACATTTATGTTAGATGTACATTTTTGCAGATGTAAGGTATCGAACATATGCAGACATGGTCCTGGTTGGGGAATCATCTGGATAATATTCTAAATCACTTTCATCGGATGCCATATGATGTTGAAATTGAAAATGATGTAAACGTCATTGCCATTTGATTTTCTATATATATATATTTAAACTCTGTATATAGCGACCCTCTCAGATTTTTGTCATCTCATTGTTTCCATATTGCATTATATTACATGTCTCAGCCTTGCTTGAATAGAATGATGGCTAATTCATGTATAATTATATTTTCAGACTGTTAAAAATGAAGACAATAAATCTTTAATCACCAAATAACATTCTGAGTGTGTTTATGTTGTCTTTAACTGAAACACATGTACAGTCAAATTCAACAGATCAGGGGTGTCAAACTCATTTTAGTTCAGGGGCCACATACAGGACAATTTTATATCAAGTGGGTGGGACCAGTAACATCATTGTATAATAACCTATAAATAACCACACCTCCACATCCTTTAGTTTCTTTTAATGTAAAGAAGTACATTCTGAAAACACTTAATCCATTTGCAAAACAGACGGTGAACAGCCTGAAATGTTCATCTTTAAATATGACCACAGTAAATACTCATTGTAATTTCAGACAACTGTATTCTGGTCAGATAAAATCCTCTGAAGCAGCATTTTACATGAAGTAGGCTACTCTATGTTTAACCTGCTCCTGAATCCTGACACCTCTTGGCTTTCAAAAGTGCATTAATATTAGGTGTGCGACTGCGTAGTCATCCAGTGGGCCGGACTGAAACCTTTGGCAGGCCTGTTTTGGTCCGCAGGCTGTATGTTTGACACCCCTGTGTGCAACAATAAAAATACACTGAATTAATGCTACCTGAAGCTTATAATCTCCAGTCATTGTTTTTGCTGTTATATTTGACTAAGTTATAGCTTTGAGAAAACTGACGTGTACAGGGTTTTAACTCATATAATATCATATAATATGTAAAACAATGTACAATCACACATCACAGACTGAACAAAAGGAAAGAAATTAAATATCAAAATGAGATAAGTACAATAAAAAGAACCAAAATATCTCGTCTCGTCTCGTCGTCCTCCGCTTATCCGGGTCCGGGTCGCGGGGGCAGCAGCCTCAGCAAAGAAGCCCAGACAGTCCTATCCCCAGCAACCTCAGTCAGCTCTTCCGAAGGAACCCCAAGGCGTTCCCAGGCCAGCCGGGCGATGTAATCCCTCCAGCGTGTCCTGGGTCGGCCCCGAGGTCTCCTCCCGGTTGGACATGCCCGGAATACCTCCCAAGGGAGGCATCCTTACCAGATGCCCAAACCACCTCAACTGGCTCCTCTCGATGTGGAGGAGCAGCGGCTCTACTCCGAGTCCCTCCCGGATGTCCGAGCTCCTCACCCTATCTCTAAGGCTGAGCCCAGCCACCCTGCGGAGGAAACTCATTTCGGCCGCTTGTACTCGCGATCTCGTTCTTTCAGTCACTACCCAA